GCAAGAACTTAACAGATCTCCAAAATCCCTTGGCACCCAAAGCATGGGATCCTCTGGGACAAACATGCCTGTATGCAGGATTCTGAACAGGAGAGGATACTGAAGCATTAAGGCCAGGCCTCCAAAAATGGCTCCTTGAAGTACAGGATACTACAAGGAGGAAAAAGTCTCTGTTGAGCTTACAAGCTGTGCCACAGCCTCTTGCCCACAACATGTGAGTAGCAGCAAGTGGCCGAGTTCAGGGGCCAAGCAGGAGAGCACTGGAGCTACACCTGAAGACAGCTCTTACCAGATGTCCTAGAGAGCTGTGCCTCACTGCTGGACTTGATGACCTTGCAGTTGGTGGGCATGTCGCTGAGAGCAGACTGGGCCCGCTCGGGTTTTGCCCGCAGCTTGCTGTGGTTCTCCAGGACCTGGGCTGCCGTGGCCTTGGCCACTTTAGAGTTCAGAGTTTGCAAAGAGGAAGAGGAGGAAGAGAAGTCCTCATCTTCATCATCGCCGATGTCCCAGGCATCACTGGTATTGCGGGCAAACTCGTGAAAGCTGGAGGCCTTCTTGCTTTTCATAGGCAGCGCGTTGGCTTTGGAGCGGTCCTTGATGAAGCTGGGAGCCAGAGAGAGAAGCAGTTATCAGAACCATGCTGTCAGGTGAATCCATTTTCTTTCCTTCCCTATGTCCTCACTCCAATCAGCCACTCCCTTTTTCCAATTTCCCTGTTCCTCCTCCCAAATCCAAGGAACATATTAAGTCTCTCCAGGCTGCCCGGAGGCAGAGCCCGAGCTGGTATGATGGCAGGGCACAGAGGCCACAGTGCCAGCAGACAGCTGGAAAGGCGCCAGGCTTCCCGGCTCAGAAGGGCAAGGGGTGAGATGTACAATTCCTCCAGCTTTGCCTCCCCTCACCCTAGAGAAAACTGGTAGATTAACACCCAAAAAGCCTTGCGACCTGGGGAGAGGCATGTCAGAGGTCAGACGGAGCCAGTCTGCACTGACGGACACTCCTGACGGCTCCTGGCATACAGACCAGCCTGGCTCTTTTCTCAGGCAAAGGAGGAGCCTTCGGATTTACCTTCAAGCTACAGGAGTCAAAGTCCAGCACCTGAAGCGTCACAGCAAACGAGGAACCTTCACCGCCACACAGCACCAGACAGAGACAAGGAGGCAGTTCAGATCAGCTCTGCCTTTTCCTGCCAGGAAAGGTGCTGCGGTTCTCCAGCCTCGTAACTCCCCCTCCACGTAATTTTTCTGTTTCCCAAGGGGAGCACAGTGCTCAGACACCATTGCTAAAAAATACACCTGTCTCCTTCGATGTGGCTGGTACGACATGGATTTCTGGCCATAAAGGGCACCAGGAGACAAGCTTTCCCTGCAAGCATTCGCAGAGCTCAAGACAGCACCACACACCACTGCCAGAACATCACAGTGCCAGGGGATGCTGGAGACCTCCACCTGCTGCAGGACAGAACCAAAAACCTGCAAAGCCTCATGGCCTGGGTCTCCAGAAGACAAACACTTACTTTTTGGTGAGCCGGGGATCCAGCGGCGGATGCTGTGCTCCATAGACAGGTTGAATGCTGCAGGAAAATGAGAGAAAAAGACAATGCAAAAATCCACAGAGCACCCATGAATAATCTCTGCAGCCTAGACTGGGGTCACGCTTCCTGCCTGCTGTTGGGAGCTGAACACAGACCAAAAGCAACTTCAACAACCTTCTGTCTCCAAAGCCTTAGGTCCAAAGTGCCACATGCAGCTGAAGATTTGTTCCCTGCAGCAGCAAAGAGAAGCCTTGTTCAAACTCTTCGGCTCTCTCCAGCCTGAGCTGGGATTTGAGACCTGCTCCTTCTGCACCACTGATTCACTCCGAGCGACCACGTGTCTCAGCTCCCCCTGCCTTACACACCGATGTTCACTCTCTTTTTCCGTCAAGGGGTTTTCCAGGTTTGGGAATTTATCCTTCCAAGTCCTGTGGGTCAGGGAAGGACTCTAGCCAGCAACACTGGGGCTCCTCCACAACACAGCTGAGGGACTGAACCCCACACTGGCTCTTGGGCTTGTGGCCAACGCTACGGCAAAGTGGCCTCCTGTACAGTAGACGGTTTGCGTCCCAACCCCACCTTAATCGACTACGTCCTACATGGCCTGAAATGAGTCACCACGCCTCAGTCCTGCAGCTCCCCTCTCTGAGGATTGGGTCTAGTGGGACAGGGAGCCCGAGGGCTGCAGGCATCAACACGGGGAGCATCACCTTGGAGAGGAGCTACTAGACAAGAGCTCACCACTAGTTTTACGGGCTCTGGATGTGAGACAGGGATCCTGAATTATTACCTCCCTTTGGGTAAATATTCACAGCCACCTCACCCCGAAAAATCAACTCTGGAAAACAAGTCTTCCCCATCCCCTGGTACACAGCACGGTCCCGCATCCCACTGCAGAGACAAGGGCCTATTCAGAGCTGGCACACAAGGGACAGGCTCCTCTTGGGTCAACAGAGCTGGCCCGGTTTCCAGGAGCTGCAGATGGTGCCCGGCAGTAAAACAAGCAGAGCCCAGTGAGGAGAACAGCAGCCTGCTGCAGCTGGAAAGCGTGCTGGAGACCAGTTGATGCTGGGGAGGTGGCAGTAATAGGCCCAGCTGGCAAGGGAGAGTTGCAGAGATCCATGGCAGAGCACAGAGGGATCCTGGTGGTGAAGCCTGGTGAGGGGTGGGCTCGCTGCTGCAGCCGCCACCCCTCATGGCTGGAA